TGTTCAGAACTTCTGAACGTGCTAGATTAATAGATGTCAAAATTAAGCCACTATCGTCGAAAACGCTATTATTTTTGTTTACCAATATCCTCAAACTCAAATGAACGTGTCCATATATAGTCATAGGTCATATTGAAAGGATAGTATCATGTCAAGTATGAAGATGCTTTGCCAGCCTCTTGGGTACGGTGTGACAACCCCCATATTATGATATAATACCAGGAAGAGGATGCCGGAGAAATCTTTGAGAAGATGATGGAGGTAAAGTGGTAGGTGGAATGAGGAAATATATACATAAATGCCTGGACACTTAATCATAATGTGCGCTCCTACTAAATCGCTCGCCCAAATTTTAAGAAAATTCTTGTGAAAAGGCCCTTTGGGCATGAAAGTTATCTAGATCGGTGTATTTTTGGACGCTGATTCCGAATCACCCCCAAAATGCTTCCCTGGAGAGATATGGGCAAAAAACCGTTTTGGTCACGTGACAGGCTAGTAAAATACGAATTCGATTGTTTAGCCTTAGGGCCCGGGTTAGGGTTAGGGTTGTGGTAAGGGTTATGGTTAGCTTCGGGGTTATGGTTAGGGTTAGGGCTGGGATTAGGGTTTATGTAAAACCGTTTTGTACGGCTGCAAAACCATAAAAACCAAAGTCACGTGAAATTTTTGGGCGAGCAAATTAGTAAGAGCCCTAAATGTGAATGATAATCAGAGATAATAAGCTAAAACAGCACGACGTCACTCCAGTTTGGTCCTCGGGCACTGCCATGTAAAACTAAAATGTACAATGTAGAGACATAGATCATTTCAACTAAAAGAGAACGTGTCAAATTTATACCACACACTTAATATATGGTCACGTGTGTGCGAGATAGACCACTCGAAACCCAGAATCAATGCCACGAGTAAACTAAAACTAAAAGGCCTCCCCACCAGTATATCCAGATCTGTTGTCCGACCCCTCTGGCTCTACTAGTACTAGCTGTAGTAGTACTACTACTATACGCCTTTATCTTTGGACTAAGCTTTTCGCCAGGCTGGGGAAACTTCTCCGAGTCAAAGGAAACATAGATTGCATAGTTCCCGTAAACTGGCCCGTCTGTAAGACTAGGTCCATGATCTGTTCCCTGTAGTCTCACTTCTTCACAGTTTAGTCGCGGACAGTCCTGTATGTTCGAAATGTCGTGAGGCCAGTCTTTACTGTGAATGGTGTTTGTGAGTGGGTTGATATGAAAGTCATTTCCAAGGCCATGTGTGTTGTCATCATTCACATTAACTGCAGAGAAGTGTCCTCCAGTGAGTACAATCCTACAGCCGTTGTTGTCATATGCCCAGTTAAAAGCCAGGTCTCCACCAACAGAGAATATAGGATCGTCCCACAAATTATCAGCGTCATCAGCTATTGACTCTTGGATTGGTCCTCCTTGGGTAACGATTTCTCTGCCCGGATTCATGTGCTTGAGCCCGAACCTGAACAAAATTATATTTTCAAGTGTATTTTTATTGGAAGAGCAGAATTGGATTTTTTTTCTTTTTAAAGGGAACACAACCTGATTTTACAGGTCTATACATGCTCAAACTCAAAGCAACAAAAGTTCGAGCGTACTAAATCAATCTACACAGACACTTAATCTTCGAGATTTTTATAAAAGGGCCCCCGAGAGTTGAAACTAACTCGAATCGATGTATTTTCGGACCCTGAGTGATTCCAAATCACCCCATGACTTAGGGTTAAAATGCTCCCCTGGCGAGATAAATTGGCGAAAAACTTTCTCGATCACGTAATATGACCGTATAACTATAAATATAAATATAATGAAGTTGGTCTAATCGTCTACTCGTAGTCGTTATGGTTACTGTTAAGGTTTCACTTTCAGGGCCAGCTAGAGAACGGGCTGAAAAATTCACGTGACAGCCGAGTGTAGAGTGATTAATCATCATATCCACAAAAGTTCTCTGGTGAAATATTTACTTACTTAATGCTGAGTGATTCCCCCGAGACTTTGAACTTGAAGACCTTGACGGCATCCACAACACCCCGCTGATGTCTGACAATGTCAATAGCGATGTAGTTTGCTGGCGTAATCCACACGTTTGCACTTAAATAGTCCTTGGTTAGGCCTAGGGCTTCACGGTAACTTCCAATATCGATACCACTACCAGTTGCCCATCCTGAGTATTATTATTGGATTCCGATAGTGATATGATGGGGTTCTTAATATAATTATAACTATAATAAAGAGTAAGGTTGTCCTCGCAGCTTGTTCATCCAATTAAAAAATGTTAGGTTTTCGATACCACAATGAACAATTCATAATTTTTTACTTTTTCATTAACTGGTTGTAGGTTTACAACCTACCAGGACGCGCGCCGAGTTGGACTCGTCGACGGTCCTTGATTCACGATGTCAATCCTTCGCATCTCGCCGATCTGCATGGTGGTTGCGAGAAGCATTATTTGATGCGCGCGCGACCCAGTAGTGCATTGCACTACAACGACGGTCCTCAATATATGGAACAGATATTTTACGAGGATCACCCGTTAATTAACTGGGGAACACAGGAAATTATGTTTATAATACTATTATATATTACTAATAGCGGCGGAATGACAAGCTGAGCTGTGACATGTGAGCGCCGCCCAGCAACTTTTTCAACATTGACAATGATATTTAACGGGTGATACTCGTAAAATATCTGTACCGTCGACGAGTCCAACTCGGCGCGCGTCCTGGTAGGTTGTAAACCTACAACAATGATATCAGATATGACGAATTATATTATTAGGTCATGGCAGAAATAGTAACAAATAACATCTTTAAAATTCGGTCTGTCTGCTATTGCAATTAAAGATATCACTTGGCTGATAATTTTGTTAAATCCTTTATTTAAAGACGAAAACATAAACAATAAAACGTTTACAGTGTAACCAAATATCAATATGTGCCCGTCAGCAGGGTTAATGTTCATCCCCAGACGCCAGGTCCCCGCCTTTTCTATTTTCTAGCTTCCCCTCGAGTGACTGAATATTTTCTTCAAGCATTTCTTGTCCCTTTTTAAGCTCACTCAGATCATTTTCATCTTGATTTGCTTTTAAATTTAACAGCGGCTTGATCCCCCTTTTGGACGTTTCCGCATATATTCCAACTAAAAAGCTCAAAAAGATTTAAAAAACCTCATTGTGTTAATATAGGAGGGCCGGTTCGGGTTATATATATATATAATGCAATTACTACATACTAGCTCATTAACAGGTGATACTCGTAAAATATTTGTTCCAACTCGGCGCGCGTCCTGGTTGTGGTAGCAGGTAGGGTATAAACCTACAAACTAGCTTGTAGCTCAGTGAGAGGAATTTAACTTATTAAACGAAAGTTTCTTTTTCATTTTTGTCTGTAAGTGTATGATGTGTATATTATGTGTACGACCGCCCACATGCAAATTAGGTTAAAATCAAAAGGTTGCATAGTGTCAATGTCAGAAACCGTACGTGCACGTGCAATGATTGTTGGAACGGCATTTCGATCAGGATCGGTTCTGTGGTAATTACATTTACGCTGTCCTTCCTTTAACGGGTGATACTCGTAAAATATCTGTTCCATATATTGGACCGACGAGTCCAACTCGGCGCGCGCGTCCTGGTAGGTTGTAAACCTACAATCCTTCCTTAAATGTTAAAGTGTTTTACATTTAAATCGGATGTATTGTCGGTTGGGATGGATATTTTTTATTAAAACTTTCTTTTAAAGAATAATTATAACACTAACTTTTTTCCTGTTACCACGGGCTTTTTAGTTAATTCTACAGGGCCGGGGGTCATAAGTCAGTACTTATACGTTGGGTCTTACCCAGGAAACCTTACCAATACCGGCTGGGGCCTAACTTCGAAAGTAAAAGAAATAGAGACTTCTGGTTTCTTGCAAAATGTTCACCTCCTAAAAATATTTACCTGGGGCCGGATCCCAGGCTATTATCATGTTCATAAACATAATAACCTGAGATTCGGTTGTCGGTTTATAACCTACCAGGACGCGCGCGTAGATCGGCGAAATGCATACCCAATACCACGTTGTAAATTTTCGAAAATATGCGCGGCGCACCTAAAATTTTGGTTCCATTAAAAATCAATTTTTTGGTCAACATTATATTTAATATATTTAAATTAGTTGTTATAACAAGATATATATGTTTAAAAATTTCCAAAATATAGCATGTAAGTACCAAAAATAAATTGCGCGCAAAAAGTCAACATTTTTACCACTTTTTTGGATTTTTAGTTTTACCCCAGAAAAAATAGAGGGATTTTTTATTTTTATACCATCTTGTGCGGCTGTTTTTTTAGCTATCTCCATGCAAGTTTTGCCGACATGCTAACAAAATTAACTTGCTCAAAATATCAAAAAACATGGTTTTTTGGCCCAAAAATCGGTTTTTTGCAATTTTAACCGGGAAAATCAGTCCAATTATCTTGAAACCACTTTTAGTCGATTCTACGGTAAAAAATACGTCTAGGAAGGTGTATCTGGGGTCCCTAGCGTATCGAGCAGACAATGCCCGTAAGAGCCTCTACTAGGAGGGGTGGTTTCTGAAAATCCGGAATTTTTGGCAGAATTAACAAAAAAGTTCCATTTATTTCCAATTTCAACTCTTTGAATTTTATCTCAACTCTTTGCATTTTATTAACAATGAATTTGAGTTGGTTTTATTTGTATTCTTAAAAGTAGCTGGAAATCCGGACGTCCTGGGGGGTGGTTTTGAAAATTCGTTGTAACACATTGCTATATGAATAGGCAATTGAAGGGATTCGAAATGACGAAGTTATCAAGCAATTTGTTTATCTCATTATTGATTGGGTAATCATGTGATTGCGTGCTACACCGTAATTGAACTCTTTGCACGATTACCATTGACCATAGTTAAAGGTCCACAGCGTGGGTCAATATCACATATTTTACAGACCTAAAAGTAATATCTTATATAATATGATTCGCTCAGAAAAAGATGTTACAAAGGCACAAAAGAAAACTTATGATCGAGGAGATCAGGACTATGACCGCCCCGCTGGGTCACATGGACCTCCTAGAGTCTATAGAGGTGTTTAAGGATGCTCTGGTCAGGGCAGAGGATGCGATAGTGTGCATTACATTCACTGCTAGGTGGTGCGGGCCGTGGAAAATGATAAAGCCAGGTAATTGCTGAATATGTGGCTTAATTTTAAGTTTTCGTCTAGCCTGCCACGCCGGTAGAAGTATTTCAAACTCGACAATTTAATTTAGATTCCAAGCATAACATGTAGCATTCTTGAGTAAGTAAAAATATTTCAGACGTCCTGCGTTTAGCCCATGTTTACAAGGAAGTGCGGTTCTATGAGATAGATATGGACGACAACGAGGACATCGCAATAGTACGGGGAGTAACAGTCGCGCCCACCTTTCAGTTCTACAAAATGGGGACTATGGTGGCGGAGTTTTCGGAGCCAAATAAGCTTAAACTGTCGGAGACCTTGAGAAGAGTTCGGAGGATTAACATTACTCCTGAGCCGTATAACATTTGATTGAGGGAGTTTTTGAGATAAGTAATAGTATATCGCTAACAACCGATTTGGGACTGTACTGCAAGATTACCATGATATTTGACTCTTAAATAAATTCAACTTCTGGCACCGCTCTTAGTTTTGCAACGTCACGAATTGACAGAAAATTTTTATTTATGGTTGCAAACATGGATTTTTCTTTAAAACGGCCCTATCTATTATTTAACCATCAGCCAATAAAAACAAGAGGTCTGAATATCTGTAAAAGAAATAAATTAAGTGGTTTAAATAACTTCAATGCCAAAATTCAATCGTTTTAAAAGATCTTGTCACTGTCAGCTGAAATCTTGAGGATAAAATGTTAAAATTCACGCATCTTTTTGAGAATACAGACCCTACTAAAAACCAATAAAAACTATACCACATTATCTGTGCATATATTTTACTGATGAGACATGATCGACGAACCGTCCCTTGAAAAACAAGGCTCGAATTTTCATACATTTAGTCTTCTCATTGCAATGTAATCCAAGATTGGGCTCGCCTTGACCTGAAACTTGCTCGCGGCCTGTCCGCTTTTATCCTCCAAAACAGATCAAATCAAAAGTATTCACATTTTTATTTTAAGCGACGGACTTCTTTCTCTTTTTCCTCTTCTCAGTTGCTGGCGTTACTGCAGCCACTGGTTCGGGTGCGGGCGTGGCGGCTTTCTTTTTCTTCTTCTTTTCGGTTGCAGGGGTTTTAGGAGCCTCCTCAACAACAGGTTCAGCAACAACAGGTTCATCTACTTCAGCTGGTGCGATGGACTTCTTCTTTTTCTTCTTCTTTGCACTGACTGGTTCTGAAACATTTAAAACTTAAAATCTCACCGGAGTTTCTACTATAGGGTACTATAACTGGAAAAATGATCTAGCTACAAAAATAATTGGCAGAGGATGAAAATATCAATGATCGTGAATAAGAATGATTTCTGTAGGTGTACCAAAACATAGACACCTTGTACACATTGTGTGGACAAGGGTGAAAGTTGTGGTGTAATCAATGTTGCAAGGGTTTTTAACGAAACACCATCGGTATCAAGTCCTTATGACTTGCAATATAATAAACAAGATCACCTAAAGGTGTTAGTAATAACCTGGTGCTGGGACTTCTGCTACAGGTGCGGGGACTTCTGCTACAGGTGCTGGGACTTCTGCTACAGCTACTGCTGCACTCTTCCTTTTCTTCTTCTTCTTGGCTGGTTCTTCTGCTGCTTCAACAACTGGCTCGGCGGCTTCAACCACTGGTGCTGCTTCTACGACTGATAAAGAAATTTATTCATAATCTTAACTCATTAATCCGGCAGTTCAATGAGGATTGATTATGTAATAACGTATAATCATTGTTCCTCCCAAGTCAATGGTTATCGCCAGGGTTCGTACTCAAATATTAAGTGTTCCTGGTTTTCTGGTCATTTCCCCCCCAATTTTTTGGTTTTCCTAGTTGAGTACGAACCCTGGTTATCGCAGTCTCTTACCAGGAATAATCACTGGCTCAGGGGCCTCAACCGGAACCACTGGTTCCGCGGCTTCGACCGCTGGTGCCTCTTCAACGGCTGATAATATTCAATTCTAATCCCAATTTAATAATTAGGAATTTCAATGACGGTTGAGCATTCGTGACAATCTCTACGAAAGGTGATGGAAATGGTTCGTTCCAAGTCGATGATTTTAAAATTATCTTACCAAGGGCGGGCTCGGCTGCAGCTTTTGACTTCCTTTTCTTCTTTTTCTTGGACGGTTCCTCTGATTCCATAGGCGTTTCTTCGGTCGTTTCTGCAGACACTTCTTCGATCTTTCGCTTCTTCTCCGATTCAGTTGGTGTCGTTTCCAACACTTGCATAGCTTCCGTCATGGCTTCCTGGTAGAGGAATAGTATCGATAAGATTTCAGGAGGTCGGGAATAATTTGGTATGTGCAAAATATTAAGTTAATGTTTTCATGGAAAAGTATGGAAAGGAAACAAAGCATTTACTACCCTGCTTGTCTGTAAAAAAGATGAAATTTGAGACAAACTAAACGGTTTCCAGATCTGAGCGCGAGCGGCTCCCCAAAATTAAGATTACAATATAAAGGTTTCTCCTTACTCTTCAAAGGAGCAAAAGGGTAACATAAAATCAATAAATGTTTTTGCCATGAAACGGACCAAACTGATCCTAACTCATATTTAGGGTAACATAAATATTCGTATTAGAAATAATATGCTAGATCAAATTAGACGACAACGGGCTAAATAAAATACGGGTTTAACACGTACCTCCATAACATCAAGATTTTTCCTGGGCAGATCACCGGTCTCGTAGAACTTCAGCCTCTCCTCGACCTGTTCCTGGAGTTTTACTCCGAACACGTTGTTGCTAACATTCTCTGTAGAGAAGATTTCAAAGTTAAAGTTAAGTTCCATATTAACGCAAGTGCCGGTAGAATAAGTTGGTAAGAAGACGACACAACGTACTGGTCATGGTGGTTATGATTCCAGTATTAAATTTCAATATGTTTATGCGACTAATCATTCAACACTGTCGAGCGATGCTTTGAGCACTGGTTTGCTACAAACCTGAGAAACAATCGATCCTGGAAGCGATGGAACATTTGTTAGCCAAGTATCGTGAGATTCGACCCTTGTTCTTAGCTTTAGCACGTCCAATGTAACTGGAGTGGAAGAGGAGGCCGTATTTGGGCGTGTTACCACGTGTCTTCAGTGCCCTGAAATTGTGTTTAAACTGAAGTAAACCTTTTTTATGTAGAGCCGTGAAAATGTTGAAGGAATTTAAAATGAAGTGAAGTGTACCAAAACATAGACACCTTGTACACATTGAGTGGACAAGGGTGAAAGTTGTGGTGTAATCAATGTTGCAAGGGTTTTTAACGAAACACCATTGGTATCAAGTCCTTATGACTTGCATATAACTTAGAAACAAGGTAGGTTACTTACCGGAAGAGAGCTTTCTCAGCTCCGAGGATCTGAACGGTGGAGGCTGGGTATTTAGCAAGGTTCGTGAGACTGCCAGCATGTGCTATCAGCCTGGCTCCTACCTGTAATATTGTCAGGCGTTAGAATCGTTTGTTTATTCATTTCCCTTTTGGGAAAAACATTTTCCTTATCGTATGTTTCACTTTAGTCTCTTGTTCAAACTTTACTTTTTTCCTTTTTACTTTTCTTAAATTTCTTATCTTTACTCTTTTTGACTTCTATTCATATCTTCGTATCTTTCTGTTTGTTTTATCTTTTATTTTCCCAATATTTACATATATGAAGAACTACGATATTTGTATATAAGTAAGTGTATGGGTCACATATATACAGCATGAGAGTAAGCCCTGCCATCTTGAACGGACAAGAACTAAGGTAGTGAAGAATACGTTGGAAACAATCGAATACGAGGTGCCATTTTAAAATCACTCTAAACGGTGTGTCTAATGTAATACTTTAATTAGAACACCTGGGGGTTAAGATGAGAAACAAAATTATCCCGGAATGGCTATTGTTGAATGTTCAGTTGACATCGGCGAGTTTTATTATGTATTCCGTTCTTGTAGTAGATAAAGTAGCGACGATTTGCAGAAAGGGTAGATAAGATAGGGTAAAATCGAAATAGAGGTCCTACTAAATAAAGGTAAAAAACTTACACTGGACAATAGAGGAGGGTGTCTCCTTCATAACAACGAAAAGAATACCCCAGGGAATATAGGCAGAGGAGGTACAAAATCATAGTGTAAATGTAAAAGTGTAAGATGAAATAGTAAGTAGGTGGGTAATAAAGAAAGTAGATATGATTAAGGATAAGGATACGATAAGATTAGAATTATGTAAGTATATACGATAGGTAGGACCAAATTCTAACATCCATTTAGCTCAGAATGAATACGGTAAAGTGTAGCGTGGGGAGGAAAGAAAGGAGGATGATAATGGGAGATGAAGACACATATACAAAGTCAAGCAGCAGTTCGGATAGTGAAATAGAGACTGACTATCGTATGTTCAATTTTTGTCTCTTGTTTATTTATTTTTATTTATATCTTTACATTTGTTTTATCTTTTGTTTTTTCCCATATTTGACGAAATATAGATAAGAAGATTTGAAGACAGTAGTTGGAGATTATTGACATAATATCCTCAATTCAAAATGTTCACTTTGTTGGAAAGATTAATTAATATATTGTTATTTTTGTCCAGAAACGTTACTACTATCATAATCATGATAATGATAAACTTTGAGATTAAGATAGAAATATCATATTAACAGCCAAAATGAAATAACACTGCATGATAACAATAAGGAGAAATGTTGGAAAAGTATTCCTACGAGGAAATGGAGGAAAAATCGCGCAAACGAATTTCACACTTTTCCCAAAAACTAGAGATCTTTGACGTTGAAAATACGAAAACGGTCAGCACTCCAGCAGCTTTGGAAGATTCGTACTGGTAAGTGCAGAGGCTTTATCAAAAGTTAACGATGTCAAATTGTAATATTATGAAATCATAATAATATGGTGATCACCATATTACTCTCTGCCGGGATACCCTCGACAAGAGGTTCGAATTGGAATTAACTCCAAAAGAAATAAAAAGTTGTACTGAGGTTTCAAACGTCCATGAAGTAATGGGCTTAGTGTTTGATGGATGAAGGAGAGAATAAGCATTGTACGGAAGATTCCCCGAGTTATTCACCAATCACCATATCTGCACTGGTTTAGTCAAGTCAATCCTTTGCCGACATTGCAGAAGAAAGGTATAATTTTAGATGATTAATATTTAAAAATTGATCTAATCGACCATTTGCACTAGTTACCGTGCAGTGTAGACTGGCAGGAGTGAGGTATTATACCTCAAGATTTTAGTGTTGACGTCTAAAAAGGAGAAATCTTGCTTATCTCGTTGGAGTTCTCAGTCCCGTCAACGATAAAATCCAAAAACGATCATCACAAAATCAGGATATCAATATTTGATAGGGTATAAATAGATCGACAGCTTATTGTTATCGTTAGGTTATTTAAATATTACTGAGGTGGTCGTTCGTCTTACACGCTGTTTTGAGTGTAACTCTTATAGATCGGTTAATTGTATTGGTGTTTTATTTTACTGTATTTCTTTTAAGTCTTTCAATTGTGGTATTGTAAAACTTTGATACCCCTCTTTGATTTGTATATATTTCAACCATATTTCCGTAGAATGTCAGCCATTAAAGTCATCTTAGAGAGGCGTAGTAAAAGAACTGGGAAGCCCTATTTGTAAGTTTTTATAAGTTGAAATTATGTAACTATATGTTAGCACTTTGCCATGTTAATAGTAACAGCTCGAGATTGTTAATAGAGATCCGTTAGTTTATTCCACTAAACAGGATCTATTCTTATCAATATTTTCCTTTACACAGCCACCTGGAGTTAGAGAACGGCAAAAAGTGCTTATGCTTTGACGACAAACTCATAAGCAAACTTCAGAAATTAGTAAGTTAATTTATTAACATGTGAATTAGTTTATTGTTTGATTGGTATAAATTTACATGTGTGGCATTTAACCTTTGAATACAACTAAATAGTTACATGTGCGGTATTAGAGTGTAAATATTGTCATTTTTCAGGCGCGATATGAGTCACTGGGGGATGTACTGGAACTGAACAGTAGATGAATCCATAAATTTGGAACATGGGTACATCGCAGTATTGGCCGTATTTGAGTGCTTGGAAGGCTCAGTTCGGTTTTCTAAGATGGATATAGCCGCAAGCTATGCCTAGGAGCCATCAAAAGTCGCATAAAATTACCCATGGAATGACCAGAAATGAACGAAAATGAACATTCTTCTCAAAGTGCTCCGAATGGTTTAAAATAGGTCGGAAAGTGTTAACATTGGTCCTAGGACCACTCAAACCAAGTTTGGGAATCACTGCATGTCTAGAACCGATGTTACCTATGTTCCAAAATGTTCCAATTTTGGGACAATAATCCTCCTGAGAATCCAGATTTTTGGAACATGGGCACATCGAAGTATTGGCTGTATTTAAGTGCTGGGAAGCCTCAATTCGGTTTTCTAAGATGGATATAGGTAAAAACTAGGCCTAAGAGCCATCAAAACTCAAATAACATTACCCAGGTTCATGTAATGAACGAAAATGAACAAAATTGAACATTGTCCTAAAAATGCTCAGAACGGTTTAAAATTGGTCGGAAAGTGTTTATATTGGTCCTGCAACCACTCAAACCAAGTTTGGGAATCACTGCATGTCTAGAACCGATGTTACCTATGTTCCAAAATGTTCCAATTTTGGGACAATAATCCTCCTGAGAATCCAGATTTTTGGAACATGGGCACATCGAAGTATTGGCTGTATTTAAGTGCTGGGAAGCCTCAATTCGGTTTTCTAAGATGGATATAGGTAAAAACTAGGCCTAAGAGCCGTCAAAACTCAAATAACATTACCCAGGTTCATGGAATGAACGAAAATGAACAAAAATTAATATTGTCCTAAAAATGCTCAGAACGGTTTAAAATTGGTCGGAAAGTGTGGGCACATCGAAGTATTGGCTGTATTTAAGTGCTGGGAAGCCTCAATTCGGTTTTCTAAGATGGATATAGGTAAAAACTAGGCCTAAGAGCCGTCAAAACTCAAATAACATTACCCAGGTTCATGGAATGAACGAAAATGAACAAAAATTAATATTGTCCTAAAAATGCTCAGAACGGTTTAAAATTGGTCGGAAAGTGTTAACATTGGTCCTAGGACCACTCAAACCAAGTTTGGGAATCACTGCAAGTCTAGAACCGATGTTACCTATGTTCCAAAATGTTCCAATTTTGGGACAATAATCCTCCTGAGAATCCAGATTTTTGGAACATGGGCACATCGAAATATTGGCTGTATTTAAGTGCTGGGAGGCCTCAATTCGGTTTTCTAAGATGGATATAGGTAAAGACTAGGCCTAAGAGCCATCAAAACTCAAATAACATTACCCAGGTTCATGGAATGAACGAAAATGAACAAAAATGAATATTGTCCTAAAAATGCTCAGAACGGTTTAAAATTGGTCGGAAAGTGTTTATATTGGTCCTATGACCACTCAAACCAAGTTTGGGAATCACTGCATGTCTAGAACCGATGTTACCTATGTTCCAAAATGTTCCAATTTTGGGACAATAATCCTCCTGAGAATCCAGATTTTTGGAACATGGGCACATCGAAGTATTGGCTGTATTTAAGTGCTGGGAAGCCTCAATTCGGTTTTCTAAGATGGATATAGGTAAAGACTAGGCCTAAGAGCCATCAAAACTCAAATAACATTACCCAGGTTCATGGAATGAACGAAAATGAACAAAAAATGAATATTGTCCTAAAAATGCTCAGAACGGTTTAAAATTGGTCGGAAAGTGTTTATATTGGTCCTAGGACCACTCAAACCAAGTTTGGGAATCACTGCATGTCTAGAACCGATGTTAGCTATGTTCCAAAATGTTCCAATTTTGGGACAATAATCCTCCTGAGAATCCAGATTTTTGGAACGTGGGCACATCGAAGTATTGGCTGTATTTAAGTGCTGGGAAGCATTTATATCAAAATATTGGAGGATTATTAAAACAAAAATATTTGCCCAATAAAATAATTTCTGTTTAATTGTACATAATTCTGAATGCAACTTTAAGACCCTGTTGGACGAAAATATTGACTCTTTGCCACCATTTTTTAACCATTCTGAGTGCTTTGAGGAAAATTTTCATGTTCGTTGTTCATTCCATAAACTTGGGTAATATTATTCGACTTTTGATGGCTCCTCTATAAGGCCTAGTTTTTTTATATCCATCTTAGAAAACCGAATTGAGGCTTCCCAGCACTTCGATGTCCCCATGTTCCAAAAATCTGGATGCTCAGGAGGATTATTGTGACAACATTGGTAACATCGGGTCTAGACATGAAGTGATTCCCAAACTTTCCGACCAATTTTAAACCGTTCTGAGCATTTTTAGGACAATATTCATTTTTTGTTCATTTTCGTTCATTCCATGAACCTGGGTAATGTTATTTGAGTTTTGATGGCTCTTAGG